TGTCTTTAGGCACCATAAAAAAATGAACTTTTTCTGGATTTGATTTATATCCAGAAGTACAACCCGGTGCTATGCAATTCGCGGGCATAATTAGGCATGGATCGACAAGAATCACATGTACACGCGCATCCACGTGCGTTTACTATATTATCATAAACACCGAAATGACAAATTTTTTCTCACTTAACTTTTGATTACTCATAAATCACTTAACTGCACTTGGTCACGTTCAGTTTAATCGCGTGCGACCGCGTTTATTTAGATTCGATCGCGTTCAACCACGTACGATGCTGAATGCGGTAAGAATAACCTCACTTTACTAACAAGAATGCCCCATAAGACTATTAGCCCCTAGCGGATTTCGGACGATAAGAGGGTCACATGAAACTACTGAAAATGTGCTAAGTGCCAGAGGCCTGGACAAAAGTGTCAGAACGCGGACCATAGAACTTATAGTACATGGAAGGGGACTGCCCATAAGTTGAACAGAGAGATCCACGTCCGATCTTTGAGTATATAGATACCTGGAGGTGGAATGCCTTTGTTCTCTGCAGGCCGCAAGCGAGTTCAAGAGTGGCAAGGAGTGCGAGAGAGAAAGGTATACGAGCGATACCACGTGATACTTCGTCCTCTCTGTCTGTTAAATGATTGACGCATGCGCAGAGAGGACGAACATTACTCGTCTACCTTTCTCTCTCGCACACATCTTGGACTCAGTTTTCGAGCCAATATTCCCCCTCCACCCCTCCATGTCTATATACTCAAAGCATATACCTCAGACCTCTCTCTTTTGTGAGTTGGTTTTTGAAAGTGCGCATGCGCGTCGTTTGGCCGCGGTCATGCGTAATTGTAATTTCAGGCCTTTACACATAAAATTCCGTAAGATCGTAAGTCCCGAAACACAATAGATGTAGTAAGCCTTAAGCCGTAAGAAATTGATTGACCAATCATAATCTATTATTCTCTTCAAATTCAACTGCAATTGGTCCATTTTTTACGGCTTAAGGTGCCATTTCATGCGCAGTGTGCAGTCGCAGCAATTCATTACTATTGGTTAAAAATGTTACTGAATACTTAGATGACGCATTTCCGGTTTTTTCAAAACACAAAAATCTAAGAGACACGTATTTTTTTATATGTGCGGAATCTCAAGTTTAAGGGGTGAAACACCCTTTTGAAAAAAAATTGTTTTTCTTTCGTGGTGAATATCATCAAAAATATAAAAGATAGAAAAAAATGTTTTAAACAAAAGTTGTACGGCTTGAAGAGTTCTATCAAGTTGTAAAGAAAAAAAATTTTTTTAATTTTTATTTAACAAAATACCCCTATCACTCCAAGTTTCTTTTTAATTTTAAAATTTCTTTTCTCTACCAAATTAAAAGTTATTTTTTTCTGAATTCAATCGTATATGATGAAATTAAATTACAAAATATTATTTTCGAGTTATAAGAGAATTATATTAAATGCCTCCATATATACACTATCTCGTGCTCATGTGCATAATTTTCATCAAAACAATAAGATATATGTATTAATCAATGAATAACAAAATCGACATGATTGATATTCTTAACATTACAAATTATAATAGAGTAATAATGGTAAGAGGTTATAATAAATATATTAAGAGTTATAATATTTTTTATTATTTTTTCTTGATAATAATAAAACTTATTTTTTATTTAATTCTACTGTACATTATTTCTTCATAACATCTTAAGATTATACTCTCTGAAAGTTGTTTAACCATTCTACACTTTTACATCTTATTTATTTGTGGTTTACATAATAATTTCTGAACTTAATAATAAATTAATTTTTAATGTTTATATAATAAATTTATATTTTGTATCATTCACACATTATATATATTCATTACAATAATGATAATCGACGAAGAAATGTTTTAAACATAATGACTTCTTGCACCATGAACATCTTATTATAAAGCTATAATAGTTGAATAAAGCCCCATCTACATAAGTCGCAAACGCACAACGCAAACGCAAACGCGGAGAAAAAAAAAGAACGAAACGTCAAAAAATAAAAGAAAAGAAAGAGAGAAACGCCTGCGTTTGCGTTTGCGTTTTGC